AAAATGTCTGGAGGTCAGGAAAGTAGCCTACTGAATGTATAGATTCAAGTTTTTAGCATATAAATATGGTGGCAAACTCATATGATATAACAGTATAGAAACGTATGTAGTCTGTAAGATCAACTAGAGATAATGGTATGAGAAGACAGGAGGGCCCTAACAGAGTTACTATACATATTTTAGAAAACAGCAGAGCCAAGCCTGAAAAACAATGTAGTAACACTAAAAATAGTTAACATTTGCTGAGTTGCTTATTTAGTAGGTATTGAGTTAAGCAAGTTTTATAATACCTCATTTAATTCTAACAACTCTATAAAGAGGTATTTGTATTATTACTCTCATTTTACAGATGAGGAAATGAGTCATAAAGAGGTATAACTTGCTTAAAGTCACCATCAGAATGTAAACCCAGTTGGTCTGATTCCAAAGCTCATACTTTTAAACTATAATATAAAATTGTCTCTTTGAGAAAAATTGAGATGTAAAAGAAACCACCTCTCTCAAGTTCACCATATATATCATATGTTATATTCTATAAGGTTCAAAATGCTGAACCCTGCAAGGTATAATTTTTAATTCAATCATATTTTTGTCTCTCTTCAAGCTAACTTCATCTTAAATTGTCCCCTTCCATTGGTGGTTTTAAGTTTCATAGAAGCTACACAATCTGGGAACATACCAATACAGACTTTTTTCTCATAAGAATATTTTGGAAAATGCTCATATAAAATTGGTGTTATTACGATCTACAGGCTCCATGATTTTTATTCATCCTTCAGAGAGTGCTCTGTATTTATTAGCCTAAGGCTAATATAAAGTAGCAAATGGGAAGAAGTCAAGAAATTTTAAGGTATAAATTCAGAGAAGAGAAATAATCAGGAGGCAATGGATTACCAATTTAGAAATTTAGTTTCCAAGGGAAATAGAGCCATAGCAGGCACCAACATGAACAAGATAATGAAAACAAAACAAAACAAAATAATATTCCAGTGCTGTGTTTTCCCAAGGCTATGGGGCTATAAGTGGTGACTGTTTGATAATGGCTCTTGATCTTTTCCCACTGCCCATTTCTGAGTTTACAGCAAGTTTAACCTCTGGTTTGGTGATGTCAGTGGAGGCTGATAATTCTGCTTGATACTACCCAGATGCACAATCTTCTCACAGGAGGATGATCAGTGTAGTTCCTATCTGGTTGGTTGATTTATTTTCCACCCATCTCCCTACAAACAACAGCAGTACTAAACATTTATTGAGTACTCAGACAGGGCCAAGAATTAATCTAAGTTTTTTTTTTTTTTTTTTTTTTTTTTTTGTATATACAAGCCTGTCTGATCTTTGCAATAACCTTATGAGGCATGGTTCATTTTAGATATGAGGAAACTAAGGCACAGAGAGACCAAGGGAACTGGCCCAAAGTCACAAGGACAGATAGTAGTAAATAAGAGAAGAGGGATTTTTCTGGGTCGGAAAAACCTGATAGATTCAGTGCTGTTATCTACCCCATCATATTGCAAATAATTTTGAGTAAAGAAGTTCATTAATTTGGTCTAATGTAGTACTGTGTATAGTTGTTTGTTTTACTTAACTAGAAACTAAACTTGTAATTTTAAATCTATTTAACAGATTAAGTTAGAAAACTCAAAATAGGCTAGCATTATTCTCCTGATAATATCTACATTTATTCCCAATCCTTATTTTTGCTTCAGATGAGCTATAGCTCACATGTAAGAATTCAGTAAGAGCCGGGCACCATGGCTGATGCCTGTAATCCCAGCACTTTGGGGTATCAGCGTGGACGGATCACTTGAGGTCAGGAGTTTGAGATCAGCCTGTCCAATGTAGTGAAACCCCCTCTCTACTGAAAATACAAAAATTAGCCGGGCATGGTGGTGGGAGACTGTAATGTGGGTTTATTGTAATACCAGCTATTCGAGAGGCTGAAACAGGAGAATCACCTGAACCCAGGAGGCGGAGGGTGCAGTGAGCCAAAATCATGACACTGCACTCCAGCCTGGGCAACAGACAGAGACTCCCTCTCAAAAAAAAAAAAAAAAAAAAAAAAAAAAAGAGATAATGGATAGAAAATTCAGCCAACATGATGCAACAGCTTTTTAATTTATAATAAGCCCATATAAACCAGTAAGAAGAATATTTTTTTAAATTGTAGAAATGGGTAAAGGATATAAAGAAGCAGTTCAAAGAAAAAAATACAAATGGGTCAATATAAATGAAAACATATTAAACTTCACCTTTGAAGAAATGCAAATTGAAACAAAGATATAATTTTTACCTATTAGTTGGCAATAATTAAGAAGTCTGAGAATACTCAGTTTTGGCAACATGGGAATACAGACACATCATACACTACTAGTGGGAGTATAGGTAAAAAAATGTAAATGCAAATATCCATTGACCTAGCAATTTTACCACTAAGCTTCCAGTCTATGAGTAAAATTAAAAAAGCATGTCAAATATACATACAAGAATATTGACTATTACTAGCCATTTAAAAACCCCATTTATGTTTTAAAAAACCCACAAAATGGAATAACACATTTATGTATGTTACATATATATACACATATATACACACACACACATACACATATAGATGAATGTAGTTACGCTGAGAATAATCTGAAAGAAAATACACCGACATTGGCCAGGCACAGTGGCTCACGCCTGTAATCTCAGCACTTTGGGAGGCTGAGGTGGGGGGATCACCTGGGCCAGGAGTTTGAGACCAGCCTGGCTAACATGGTGAAACCCTGTGTCTACTAAAAATACAAAAAAATTAGCCAGGCGTGGTGACACACGCCTGTAGTCCTAGCTACTCGGGAGGCTGAGGTGGGAGAATCACTTTAACCTGGGAGTCGGAGGTTGCAGTGAGCCAAGATTGCGCCTTTGCACTCCAGCCTTGGCGAGAGAGTGAGACTGTCTCAAAAAAATAAAAAGTAAAAATAAAAAATAATTAAAAAAAGAAAATTTACCAAAGTGATTACAGTGGTACTTCTGGGGAGAAAGGTGAACTTGCAAAGGAAAAGGGGGCTTAAGGGAGAGCTGATCCTTTCCCTGTATTATGTGAATTTTTTACAATGAGAACATATTCATGTGTTACCTGTGTGGAAAAAGGTAGTTAAGGTCTGCTAAGAAAAAAAAAAGAAAAGAAAAAAAGAAGGTACCCAATTACATGTGAGTTTAGTAAATGAATAGAATGAGCCAATACACTTATCCATATAAAAACTAACGATGAAACTAGCCGGGCGAGGTGGCGGGCGCCTGTAGTCCCAGCTACTCGGGAGGCTGAGGCAGGAGAATGGCGTAAACCCAGGAGGCGGAGCTTGCAGTGAGCTGAGATCTGGCCACTGCACCCCAGCCTGGGTGACAGAGCCAGACTCCGTCTCAAAAAAAAAAAAAAAAAAAAAAAAAAAAAACTAACGATGGGGTGGGTGCAATGGCTCACCCCCGTAATTCCAGCACTTTGGGAGGTTAAGCCATGTAGATCACTTGAGCCAAGGAATTTGAGACCAGTCTGAGCAACATGGCGAAACGCTGTCTCTACAAAAACTACAAAAATTAGCCAAACATGGTGGTACACATCTGTGCTCTTAGCAACTCAGGTGGCTGAGGCAGGAGGACCGCTTGAGCTTGGGAAGTAGAGGATGCAGTGAGCTCAGATTGTGCCACTGCATTCCAGCCTGGGCGACAGAGTGAGACTGTGTTTCAAAAAATCCAAAAAATAAAACAAACGAACAAAAAACCCCAAACCAAACCAACCCCAAAACTAACGCTCTACTTCAACTATTACATATTCCTTTATTTAAAATGTCAGTACGATATCTAAACCACATTATCAGGTTTGGCAAAATGCTAACTATTGTCAGATGTCAGATGTTATTTGGGCCATGCAGTCCATATTAAATACAAAAAGCAAGAAAACACAGGCACACTAGCTACTAACAGAGAAGGGCGTATAAGGCACAAAGCATTGGCACAAAAGCCCAAAATTGTGTAATGTTTGAGAAGTAACTTTGTTAACGCAGATTTCACACCTATATGAATCTGTGCTTATTCTGGTTCAAAGGATCAAAAAGCCTTTAATTTCCATTCCCAAGTTACAGAATTCACCAAGTTATATGTAACTTTTCTTCAAGTTTGTACCAATTTGTAATTTCTCTGGGGAAAAAGTATTCTCTACATACTACCATGTAGATTACATATTTTTAAAAGTTTCTACCATGCCAACAGAACCTCTAAAAGATCTTTAATTCAAAATAAAATCTCTAGGGAAAAGGTATCTGCAACTAAAGGGATTTGATGGGAAAATATGTGCCTGAAAATTATTATGTGTTATTTCAAAGCATTTAAAAAAATATTTTATCTTTGAATACAGCTTAAAGCTATAGGTCTAAATGTGACTATCACATATAGAACAACAATATATCGTTTTTGGAAAATACCACTGAAAAGGATTAAACTCCTCTTGTTAATTGCTATGATTTCCATGTTTTTCCAGGCTAGCTGCAGAATATTACAAAATAAACTGATGAGTAAAACTGTAACAAATTATAAAAGGCAGTGATTTTTCTCAATTTTTAATGAGGAATCTACTTAAAAGGCTAAATCTCTGTCAAAATTTAACAAAATCCCATGATGGAAAATAAATTTCTCCATAATTGTATTGCCAATGTAGTAAATTTCTACAGACTTTTCACTTATCTTTAATTCAGTACACAATCACAAAGTATAATCTGAAATTAACTACTTTGTGCTTTTGTCTCCCTTAAACCTTAGATAATATCAGGATATTAAAGACATAAAATAATAGGAAATGCTTTTCAGAGCATTCACATTTCAACATAATTTCTAACTTAGTATACCAAAAGCCCCAAATTCAAGCATTAGTTAATTAATCAGCAAAGTAAAATCGAATCATAGAATTTAAAGAGATTAAGCTAAAAGGGTCCATTAAAATTGGTCCAACTGATTAAACTACTCACAGACAGCATGGTTCTAATTTCTCCAGTTGACCTAAATGAAAAATTTACTGCCTCTTGTCCATATTCTTTTTTGATCCATACATTTCTTTCTTTGATGATTCCCACTTGTTTCTCCAGAAGAACTACAGTACAAAATGGCCACTGAATTGGAGGGCGTGCCTCTGTCATTACTAAGCATTTTCCTATCAGAAGTAGACCTTTGAAAAAATATCTGAACATTATTTCTTCAGTGCTGTTATTACTCAGCAACTACAGATGAAGGTAATAGGAATACCGGAGTTTTAAAAATGCCTTCAAAGGATGTTTTTAGTGTTAGTGTTTATTTAAAAGTTTTTAAATAAACCAAGAAAAAGTGAGACACATATATTAATAAGTTTGTCCGGCTGTAGGCTTCTAATATTTTCCACTGAAATCCTATCCAATGATTCTTATATGAGATGTAATAAATAGCAAACATTTTAAAAAAGAGTAACCTTAAGATTTCTCTACACAACAGTACAAATGTACTTAAGTGCAATACTACCTAAGTCCAAAATCTAAATAAAAATCAAACATACCCATCAAACGACTAAGAGATGCAATGGGAGAAAACTGACTCACACAGCTTTTATACTCTATTGACTAAAAAGCAAGGATAGCAGTGGATTGTCTTAACTAAGTGGAGAGAAGCCAGCAATGGTAGATTGATATCTCCCTGGTTCTGATGCTACTTTTAATATTATTTGAAATCTAGCTAATTAACTGGCACGTATCAGTCACTTAAACAAATGCAGAGCAGAAGCAAGGAGAAGAAGCAAAACTTCATTTTCAACTGCTTTAAGACAAAGGCCAGAAGATCAAACACAATTGGCAAAATGTTGGATATGAGGAGAGCATGGAGTAAACTTTAATATAATGTTTGGATATTATGAGATAACATCCAACTTTATTTCCCTTGCTTCTTATCCCAAAATAAAAAAATAAAAAATAAAAAAAAAGGAAAGATAACGGGATACTATGGCTCACACAGGATGAGGTGAGAGGAGAAGATAGCTGGAGCCTAGGAGTTCAAGGCTGCAGTGAGCTACTATTGCACCACTTGTACTCCAGCCTGGGTGACAGAGTGAGACTGTCTCAAAAAACAGAAAAAAGAATAAAAAATCCATTTTAATAAAAGACTTAATGAGATATAATATTGAAAGTTGTGGATTAATCAGCAAAAACCTCAACAATAAGAGATAGGAGGCTATATTCTGTCAACTACATAAATTACAATGCAGATTTTAAAATAAAGGATGTCCTCAAATACGTTATTTCAAGTAAAAAGTAATGCGCACACTGATTTGCTATAGTGGGAATAATAACAACAGGAAGTCTCAATGTATACTATAAATAATACTCAAAAAATCCAGAGGCAATGAAGTTAGTATACTTTTTGTTTTTTGAAACGGAGTCTCACTCTGTTGCCCAGGCTGGAGTGCAATGGCGTGATCTCGGCTCACTACAATCTCCGTCTCCTGGGTTCAAGCAATTCTCCTACCTCAGCCTCCTGAGTAGCTGGGATTACAGGTGCCCGCCACCACACCCAGCTAACTTTTGCGTTTTTAGTAGAGACACGCTGGTCTCAAACTCCTGACCTCAGGCGATCCGCCTGCCTCACCCTCCCAAAGTGCTGGGATTACAGGAATGAGCCACTGCACCTGGTTGGAGTTAGTACACTTTCTAACACTGTGCCCCTGTCGAGTACACTGAGCTTTGAACTTTTGTTCCTAAATCCTTAAGGCATGAATTGCTTCTAGGAACTCAGAGAACATCTGGTGCAGAACCAAGGAAAACTAAAATTGAGTCAGGATTTTTAATATAAAAAGAGACTGGAAATGAGTAGATTCTTTTCCTGTATTTTCTAATTAATGGAAGCCTCTAAGGGCCTACTCTCATTTATTCAATCCACTAGATAGTTTCCGATCCCCTAGAATAGATTTAAGAAAAATTTCATACCAAAGGATGATACGGTATAAAGGATGATCCTGGGAAACAAGTTCTAGAGAAATTAAATGATTTATTCAGAATCTCATTACTAATTGATGTTAGTCTCTTGACTCCTCATCTAGTCCTCTTTCCACAATGCTTTTAACAGAATGAAAACTTTCAATATAGCTGCACATAAAATACCAAGGTAACTACAAAAAGTAATGTAGGCACTGTGTGTGTCATAGCTTGAGACAAAGGGACTTACATTTTAATAAATACAATAAAAAATACATAAAAGAACAACTTCCTACTTTTCTTGGATGTTTAGACGTAAAAGAGAAAAAAATGTTTTAACTGGAGCCCCAAGGATCTGTGAAGAAGCCAAAACAGAAGAAATCACACAACATAAGCAGAAAAAAAGCAGACTTGTTCCCCAAGAATAATTTTTGTAATTCATATTAAACATGGAATTTCTTCTTGCATATCTTGGTTATAAACCGGAGTTAGTGTTTTGTTTTTGTTTTTGTTTTGAGACAGGGTCTCATTTCATTGCCCAGGCTGGAATGCAGAGCTGCAATCACAGCTCACTGCAGCCTCAACCTCCTGGGCTCAAGCAATCTTCCCACCTCAGCCCCCAAAGCAGCTTGGACTGCAGGTACATGCTACCACACTGGCCAATTTTTACATTTTCTGTAGAGACAGGGTCTCACTATGTTGCCCAGGCTGGTCTTGAACTCCTGAGCTCATGTGATCTTCTAACTGCAGCCTTCTAAATTGTTGGGATTACAGGTGTGAACCACCATATCTGGCTAGACTTGGTCTTAATGGTCAATCTTTGATGTCAATAGAGTTGTGATTTAATAACACTATTAATAAATATTATTCCTATTATAGATAGTGATAGCATGAATTTTGCTATGCTTCTAATCTCAGCTACTACTTGGAACTAGATTATCTTAAATAATACAACTTTAGGGCTTTATGTTTGACAAACTAAAACTCAGGATATATTTAAAAAATAAAATGATATAATAATACTTTAAATTTTATATGTATAATTATTCTAGACAGAAAGCTCCATTATGAGAATAGCAAATATGGTCCACATATATGTTCACAGACAAAAACAATATTCTTCCATTAGTCAAATCAAAAATGCAAGTAAGAAAGAATCCACAATTATTACTTAGGGAAAAAAATGCTTTAATGTTTCTCAGAGATGTATAGTAACTTTTAAAAATACAAAGAAAGGGGAATCTCTCGAGGAAGAGAGAAATTTTTTAAAACTTCCTTTTAAATGTGAAAGGTTTTGTGAGAGTCACTTCCTTTCATTCAACTGATTAAGTGCTATGGGGAAAAGGATGAAAGCTGAACACATGGCCAACAAAGGGTTAACATTTAATAACTTACACAGAAGTATGAAAGAAGTTGGAGAAGAAAAAATCATGATAAAATGGGTAAAAATTATCTTTCTCAGCCAGGAATAAAAGAAAAGAGGAAGAATGAATTTAAACAAACACCAAAAACAGTAAAGAGTTCACCTACAGAGGATAAGGTACCAACTTAAGAGATTTGAGTAAGAGATCCCTTTAATACAATATTGTCCCTAATAGAAGAAAGTTACAAAGGAATGGTTTAAATGAACTTCAAATGATGCAAAGAGGCAGAAAAATTAGTCTTTCAGATTTAAAAAGTCTTATTCCCAGGGACTCTTCCCTCTAGGAATAGCAGGGTTTAAGACAGAATAAATGACCCGAAGTTTCTGCAATTAAAAGTTAAGGTCCGGTGCAGTCGTTCATGTCTATAATCCCAGCACTCTGGGAGGCCGAGGCAGGAGAATTACTTGAACCTGGGCAACATGTCAACACCCACTCTCTGCAAAAAATACAAAAATTTGGCTGGGCACGGTGGTTCATGCCTGTAATCCCAGCACTTTGGGAGGCCGAGACGGATGGATCACATGAGGTCAGGCATTCGAGACAAGCCTGGCCAACATGGCAAAAACCCATCTCTACTAAAAATACAAAAATTAGCAGGGTGTGGTGGCATGCGCCTGTAATCCCAGCTACTGGGGAGGCTGAGGCAGGAGAATCACTTGAACCCGGGAGGTGGAGGTTGCAGTGATCCGAGATCATACCATTGCACTCCAGTCTGGGCGACAAGAGCAAAACAAAATTCCATCTCAAAAAAAAAAAAAAAAAAAAAATTAGTAGGGCATGATGGCACATGCCTGTAGTCCCAGCTACTTGGGGGCTGAGATGAGATAATCACCTGAGCTGGGGAAGTTGAGGATGCAGTGAACAGTGATTGTTCTATTGGAGGCCAGCCTGGCGACCAAGTGAGACCCTGTCTAAAAAACAGTTAAGAAAGCAACATCAGAACTTCAACACCTTTCTAAAGTAATTGGAGAATTCTTACTCTCAAAACACAGTAATTAATGATGACGATAATAGAGTAAAACAACAATCTTGGTATTTCATGCTTATTTTGCTAATACTCATGTTAGACATAGTATCCATCATTTTCTAAACTTTGTTCTGTTGCTGTTTAGCCTGAGTGGTCCGAGATGAGGTTATACCGCCCTTCTCAATTCAGCCTCTTAGAGCAGAATGATGATAGAAGATTCTGATTAAAACAAATGGTCTTATAGAAGGAGGAGTCAGCCTCCAATATAATGGAATTAACCTTGAAAGTATGTAGGGAATCTAGCTCTGATAAAATGAAGGTAATCAGATTCTAGGGCAAGAAATGGGAATTGGGCCTGGGCACTTCACTTTTTCTTTCCTCCCTTAGTCCTTCTCTTTTTTTTTTTTTTTTAATTTATTTATTATTATTAAACTTCAAGTTGTAGGGTACATGTGCACAACGTGCAGGTTTGCTACATATGTATACTTGTGCCATGTTGGTGTGCTGCACCCATCAACTCGTCATTTACATCAGGTATAACTCCCAATGCAATCCCTCCCCCCTCCCCCCTCCCCATGATAGGCCCCGGTGTGTGATGTTCCCCTTCCCGAGTCCAAGTGATCTCATTGTTCAGTTCCCACCTACGAGTGAGAACATGCGGTGTTTGGTTTTTTGTTCTTGTGATAGTTTGCTAAGAATGATGGTTTCCAGCTGCATCCATGTCCCTACAAAGGACACAAACTCATCCTTTTTTATGGCTGCATAGTATTCCATGGTGTAGTCCTTCTCTTATATCATCTTTCAGTGCACATCTACTCCTCTCAGACTAAGAGGACTCAATGTTATCACTGGAAGGAGAAATACAATGACCCAAAATATAATACTGTAAAATTTACAAATAATCCAAGAAATAGAAATTAAAACAAGATACCTCAAAGAG